CTTTTAGTAGCTTTTGAGTTGTATTTCCGGAGACGGAAATCATTTAAGGAGTGTAGAATGTAGCGCCCTGATTTTATTATAGCAGACATCTCGTATTATTTATATTATTGTCTATTTATTTGCATTCTAGTTTCTGAGCTTGGCCAGTTTTCGAATTAATTAGACGTGAATATCTATTTTAATCATTTGGGATAATTAAGACATTTTCTCTATTTAAATTAAATTATGAGATTAGCCGATATTAGTATATCTTCCCATTTTAGCGAGAGCCGATTATTTCTAGCCGTTTCATTGTCGTCGAATTTATATTTTTTTATCTTCTTATAATTATCTGAGACTTGATTGTTAGCCTTATTATTGATCCTTGTTAATTATTTTAGCTAGTTTGTTTTTTTTTATTTTGTTTCGGCTCCCCATTTATTTGATTAGAAAACAAATAATCCAATGTAAAATTTTTTGTTGAATAGTTGGGATTGTGCCCAACTCAATTTCACGCCCTAGCCCTTATTTAGTTGGGATTGAGTACGAATTTATCACAAATAAATTTTCAAAAAATTAATATGCTATTTATTATGCTTAAAAAGTTTCGCCTAATAATTGCATATTTCAATAAAAGATATAAAATGATGGTTATACAAATCATAAATCCGATGCAATCCTAATAAGAAAATAAATATAATGGTTTTGCGAACAAGACTTCGTATATCCTTTGCAGTTTAATCGCATAGTACGAACTTACAAATAATAAAAAAAAAATTAATCTATAATTTATTATGTGTATAAAGTTTTGCTTAATNCAGTTTATCTTTTGTATATTGCTCATAATATTTTAATTGCAAAATTTGAAGTTTTATAAAAATATAATATGAGATGTATTCTGCATATATCGTATCACCTAGTAGTCACAAAGTTTAATAAAAATAAAAATTAAAAATGATTGTTCTGCGGATCACAATTTTGACACATTTTTAAAAAATAAATAAATATAATAATTATGTGATTCTATATTTCATATCTCATTCACAGTTTAATTGCAGAATTTAAATTTACCAAATATTAAATTTGAAAATTATTACTTTCCGATTTATGCTAACGCATTAATAATAACAATAATATTTTTTTTTTAAACAAAAGGAGTCTGCGAAATACTCTGCGATTAAAGATTTGAATATACGCATATCCTTTGCAGATATGTCGTATGAAAAATCGCATTTCCCGAGACTAACTAGTCAGCATTTTTTTAAAAACATTTATAAATGTTTTCCACCAATAAGGGTTTGCGAATACACTGCGATTGACCTGTGATGTATCGCATTGCCGTGGCAAAACAATCGCATAATGACTTGAATTTTTCTAGTCAATCACGTCATTCCGACAATCGTTTCTGCATGCTTGCTGGTTGACGGCGAAGTAATGATTATGAGGACACTTGAAGCATTACGTATCAGTACAAATACTACGTACATGAAGTCCAAAAAATTTTCATACACATCCCTATCACTATCTGTTACAAAAATAAAAAATAAAAAAATAAAAAAAAATAAAGTTGAAAATGTATTTCATGGTTACGATTGTCTACCTCCGCATCCACATAACGGCAAGAAATTATTATTTTGTCTTAATAGTTGATTATTCATGTATTAATTCTACTTACAACAAATGTTTACACCAAATTATTTTCAAATTCAGGTTCTGCCTCGACCAAAGATCATAACGAAGTGCCATTTCAAAAATAGTCGGGGGCCTACCTGGAGAATCGTCACTGCTGTCAACTCTGTAACGCCGCGTTAACTTTTTTTTAAAGAATTTTTTAGCTGTTTTTAAATAAAAAGAGAATAATTTTTCTTTTTAAAAATAATTAGCAGATTTCTTAATTTCTCAAACGACATATTTTCTTTTAAAACACGTAAAAAGGGCATTACTTGAAACCATTTCATAATTTCAAATCCTCAAATCATTTCACATAACTCAACGGTTCCCACATATCATCATAACAATCAAACATCATCATCATATTTACAGTTCAAGCCATATTTGAACATACGGGATTTTATTATCCAATTTATCATTTAGGATCTCATTATCCAAATCATCCTGATATATCATAATTATAATCATCTCATTATAACATAATCCTCAAAGAATAACATAATCATCATTTTCAACATCTCAACCATCCTTTTAAAACCAAATCATCAGGTTCAATTTATCATTGTAAGTTTTCAAAACAACGTCAGGCTTGAAAATTCCCAATTCAAGTTCTTTAAGCGGAAAAACATAAACAGGCGAAACATAAGACAATTAAAAGACCAACCACCACTCATCTTCTATCGCCATTCCAGCCACCTGCTCAACTTGAAATGGGGGGGAGGGGAGGGGTCATCGGAGTGAGAACACCACTTGCTCACTACTATGCACATAAATGAAATAAAAAGACAGATAGGTATGGTCGTAGCATAAACATGAATCAGTAATAATATCTCATCGCCTAATCATATAATACTCATGTGCACACCTATATAAACACTACAAGAAACAAGCTTAGTAGGAACGACAAAATTGGCACAACAATGAAGTTGTGCCAATTGAAAGTTTTATAGCAACGACAAACAATAGTCGTGTGTATAAATTGACGTCACTATTGGCACGACATTAGTCGTGCCTAAAAGGACAATGTTGTGTCTATTAGCCTGTATTTTTAGGGATGACAATATGTCATGCTAATAGATGACAATTTTGTGTCTATAAGCTTGCAGTTTTAGGGACGACAATATATCATGCCAATAGATGATTTTGTTGTGCTATTGCATGACTTCATCATATTACCATATAATACAAATATTTTTTTGTAAAACAGAAAATGCATACCAATTAGAATGCACCATATTTCAAAATTGCTGAACATCATTTTCTAGCTATTCCATACAAAATATAGCAGGACTTTGTTCGCTATTTTTATTTTTTTTTATTTGCAAGCGCACGAGGTAGCTATAAATAGTGGTGAGCTGAATTCCTTTTGAAAAGCTCAAATCTCATCAATGTCCCTATACAATTTATCTTCCTTAATCTCAAAATAACCCTGCAATTGCCCCACTACCAGTTGGGTCTTCGAGTGTACTTGAACTTGCCGAGCTTCTCCAGCTATGGTCAACTGTAATCCTTTCAGTACCGCCTCATATTTGGCCTCATTATTTGACACATGAAAGCCCAACTTGGTCGGAAATTCCAAGTTATCGTCCTTTTGTGCGATCGGGATTATTCCCAACCCTGTTCCTCCTTTCGAAACTGACTAGTCCACAAACACCTGCCACTTGCCTTTGACTTCGAGCTCAGCGCCTATAAAGGGGCTAATGATTTTTTCTCGCGATTTTTGTGAAATTTTGAGATCATGCCAAGTGATAATCCCATGAAAAATCCTGAGAAGGATATGGAGGCCGCAGGTGTTGAATAGGGAATTGGGATTTGACCCTCACCCGCGTTGGTCACAATCCTCCAATGCTCTCATCACGCCTCAGGGGACACTCTCTAGTGTTGGGTTCTATTAGGAACGTCGGCAATATGCACATTCAAATCTATTGAATAATAAATCATAACAGCGGAATCTATAGTTAGGATTAGGACTTACGGTTTAAAATTTTTGCCGACTCTGAGACGTTTCTGGTTTTCTCTATAGGAGATCATCTGAACCGTAGAGTCCGTTAGGCAACCGGACTTAGCATCATCAATGCATTCCGATTGATTCTCGGGCTCATCAGATTCTCTCGGACCTTCGGTAGGTGAATCGGACTCCTCAGACCGCTCGGAAACCATCTTTTTTATATATTACTTTGATTCACTTGGGTGAGATTCAGTTAGCTGAATCTATATTCTTACTGTCTTGGGTAATATTGATGTATGTATGATGATTTGTTAGGATATTTACAGTCACCATGCGTTAGTTTGATGATGTTCCCTAAGTGAGTTCATGAAAGATTACTATGTTAAACCATGTAGATGGATTAATTTCAGGCATAATAATAATGTGATGAATGAGCGCTAGCTTTGGTAATAAAATATATTAATTAATTCTTGATTGTCAGTAATCGAATTATTTAATAGACATTATATCTTAAACATGAGGAGGTAATTCGGGTAATTATTATTAGAGTCTCAAATGTAATTTGAGATAAGAAAAGGGAGTGCAATAATGTTATGTTAGTGAACCGTAATATTATTTAAGTAATTAGAAGAGTGAGCCTAGCCCACGGTTAGTTTATTACTTAAGAAGCCCTATTCCTATTATCCGTGAGGAGAAAGTCGAAGTGCAACAACTTAATGACGAAAGCTTGATGGTCGTAGTACCACTAAGACCATATTCAATCATCTACTCTACTCTAGTATAGAATTTAATTAACATAGAGTACAAAATGCCATAATTAAATTTTTGTCTCAAATTGTTCGCGCTACATTTTACTATACATGAAGTATATATTTAATAAAATAAAATTTAAATACAACAATAAAATATATTTTAAAATTATTTAACAAAATAAATAGTTTTACATGTATATTTTGTCAAAATAATATTTAAATATAACAAAATAAAAATATTAAAAAAAAATTATAACATGGTGAATAGTACCACGCTACATGTAGCACAATACTGTTCACATCTTTAGTGTAGTTCGAAAATGTAGTGAGATATTAGGTAAATTTTTTGCATTACTCAGAAGTCAGAAAGTTTAAATGTAGAATAATACTTGAGTTTTAATAGCCATCATTGTTGTTAAATATTTATGTATACCAATATTACATATATTATAAATTTTGCAATTATAATTTGGGTTTTTGTCTCAATTTTTCATTTATGTGATAGTAATTAATTAAATATACCGTGAAATTACTTCCCCAACATAATATCTGATTGGAAATATTAGTAAGGCGGCAAAGTGAGATTGGGAAAAACTTGAGCGGCAAAACATTTTGGTCCTTCAATTTCCGTAAAATTTTTTGGCTCTCAGAGGGTTTCGAGTTTCGACAGCACAACCCTGAATAATCGAATATTAGAGAAAAAAGAAAATTGGAAGAACAAGCTTGCAGGTAGAGCAAAGAGATGCGAGCGCTCGAGGAATCTGAAATCAAGCACAGATCCTCATGTAGAAGGCAGTAAGTAACAAGGAAGAAAGTTATTTGCATGTTTGTTCTTTTTTTTCTTCCTTTTCTCAGCAGAAGCACCGAAAATGGGAGAAATAATGACTGTGTACCAAGTACAAAACCTAGGTCAATTGGCTCGAAAGGAACTCCTTGCTCTCGTTCTCGCGACGATTCTCCCTTAAAAGGTAAGGTCCTTTGTTCTGGCTGACTCTCACTCTGTCCTTGTTTTTCTTTTGTTGGGTTGTGCTTTGAACTGAAATAGGAAAACGAGCTCGAGGTTTGACAGAGGAGGCGAACAACCCTCATATAATCCGTCTGGAAATCGAGAAGGTGCTCACAAATACTGGTAAATGTCGTTCTCTCAAATTTTTGTGGGGAAATTAATGATTATTGTTACTTCAATTAATTGGCTTAGGCTGTAAAAGATTTAAGCACTCCTTACGTTGTGGTGAGTTTCTCGTGGGTGGAAATTTGATCCTAATGTTCTCTCTTATTTGCTGCCACATTTAGATTCTAGGACTGTTAAAAATATTCAACCTTTGCTTATCGGTGTTCCCTTTTCCTTATCTGATGTATATACAAAAAGAAAATTTAAGACATGGACAGAGTATGTAATTTTTCTTGATTACCATTTTGGACTGCCCACCTCAAAGAGAGTCGATGATCAAAGTAGATGTTGGATTGATTTCTAATGATCATTATTCTATGATGTGTCAGGGATATCAGTTAATAAGAAGCACACTCTTGTCCTCATTTTGGTTGGATTTTTCTAATCAAAACTTTCATATGTTAAGTTCTATTATTGTTTCATGAGTTCCAGTGCTTGCTCAAACAGATTTATCTTGGGTTGTCTGAGTTTAGCTTTGGCTTTACATGAGCTCTATCTTCTATTTCCTTCTCCATTTCTTGAACCTGAATCTGGAAAACCAAATTAAACTTGGGGTCTATATGCATATGTGTTGGCTAAAAAATACTTGGGATTTCTATTTGAAATATTAGAGCAATGTCCCATACAAAATTTTGTAATTAATTTTTGTGTTTTACATGACTGAAAGTCTATAACAGCACTCAACAATGGGAGCACTCAACAATGGGAGTACATGCCGAAGGTCTATAACAGCACACAACGACACGGTCTATCATTAGGCTAAAGGAGACTTCCCATCAATAGGCACCGTCGAAGGTCATATAGCACACGACGACGGGGATAACCGTTTCGAAGGTCATACATCACATATCGAAGGTTACATGGTTCACACGCATACATAGATCATATCATCTAGCAATCAAAAGGAATTATGGCATAGGAATTTAGAATAACCCACATGTTCGGACGGACGAAAGAGATGCTAAGATCGAGCAGTAGACCAGTGGCTCGACTCCTCAGCTAACTTGTTGCTTCCTTGGCTGGGCTCGCCTAAGACCAGCAGATCCTCTCCCGAAGACTCTGACTCCGAAGACAACCAGTTCTCCTCCCATTCCTTCCCGAGTCGAGCAACTAGGTCGTAAAAGCTAACTGGTGCGGGTCCTAGGTAGGCCCTCGGGCCTCTACTCGAGGGGTCATAACATATTTCTTCAGCTCTCCTCTCCCAGGTCGTTATTTGGACGGCTTTGAGTTTCTCAATCCCCGTCTCATGCGTGATCCCGAGGCATTCCAACCTCATCAGTTCCTCCCATTTCTCAAACACCTCTTGGATGTCCTTATGTATTTGAAATAGACGCTGCGGGTGAAATTCCTCGAAATCCTTTACCTTCTAACATTTAACATCCTCCGAAATTGGGATCGGTCTTTCCGGCATCTCGATGGAGTCAAAGAAAAAAATTCCAACCAAGAACTCTACCAAAAAATAGGTTCGGCTCCTTGACACAATCCCAGAACACAAATCAAATGACCTCGGGCGGCTCCTCGCTCAGCCTCGGTTCAATACGCACAGTTGAACGCGGTTGAGCTCTTCGAGGCGGATCGTTGTTGATGATCGGATGGCCACGTGAATGAGGGTGGGCCGGCGATGGTGAACAGCAGGTCGGGCTCGTGGACGGAGCGGCCGAAGGCGGACAGCGGGCCAATCCGAGATACACAACGGGGGTTGCCGAAACGATGTTGTACACGGAACCATTCGTGGGGACAACCGAACAATTAGCAGAGATGATGAATGGCTAACGGAGGGGATGGCTCGCGGCTGTTAGCGCGTACAGAGGCTGCTGGGGTACCCGACGGACGGAAAGGACTCGCTGATGGCGAGTTGGCTCGTCTGCGTGAGTGGTGGCGCACGGCGGGATGGCTCGCGTGACTGGAAATCTGTTCGAACGGAGAGTTGTCGGGGAATCGCCGTGGACGGAGGTGGCGTCCTGCGACTGACAGAGAGAGAGGAGATTGTCGAGAGGAAAATATGGCGATTTGCTTTTTCTCTGCTTATGGTAGTTTGCGTGGGGAAGAAGCCGAGCGAAGTTGGGAAAAATATATCTCTCCGTTCTAATGTGATTTCACGCAAATAAAAAGAGAGAAGAGGATAGATTTTTAAGGAGAGTCCTTGATGTTGGGGAGATTAATGTGATTAAAAAGGTTAAGAAGATTTTCTTGCCATAACTAATTTCGCATAGTAGGGCAATAGTCGGATTTAGAGAAATAAATTAGAGATGATTATTTCCCTTCAAAAGACACACTCATTATTATTTGAAATTCAAATTCAAAGCTTGGAGAAAAAAAAATCTCGAAAGGGTCGGGTTTTCTCCAAAACTCAGGCCGTTTAAACAATACAACAAAGCCGAGTATTAAGATGTTGCGCCGAAAAGGAATAATATAAAATCGAGCCGAGAATATGAGTGAAATTTGGGCCAAGTACCATATTCGAGAAATTATCGAAACGGCCCCGGAAATCTAATCCACGCTATTGAACGGCGAATATACGGTTGGTTCGATGAGATGCATAAATCGAACGGCGACTAGCGATCGATCGAAGATTGACGAGAATTAAAATATTTGAACGACGCATACATGAACGAGCTAATCGAAAGTCGACGGTCGAACTCAAATCGGTAACAACGGCGAATGATTTATCATCGACGAAAATAATAAATAAATCCATTAATTGGATTAGTTACACAGAGCCATCCAATCAATCGAAGCATCCTAAATGACGGCTTGAGATTTGAAAATAATACAAGTAGACGATAGTGCCTATGAAATTGATCGAAACGAGAGATCATCAAGACGAGAATTTCTAAAAATAATCCGCATGAGCTAGAACAAGGATTTTCGCCAAGCAAAATAACCAAATATATAGCGAGGCGAAAACTTAAAATACGCTAACTCATCTAAAACGAATGGGGCACTACAAGCTCGGCCAACGTTATTTTTGAGATGGAATGACATACCTTTTTCCACGACAATGACGTGGAAGAAGGGAACACCATTGTCTTTAAACATGTACATATGGAATAGAAGAATATATTTTTATTCCAGCATTTTTATTTATTTATGGAAATGACGACTTCAATTTATTAGTTTACTTACAAAACAAGATTTTTTTCAAAAAATTATTATGCGCTTTCTATCTCTCATAAATGTCGCAGGTTCATTCGCATACAAGAATAATTGTTTAAAATAAACTATTCTGCAACTACAAGAAGATCAACCCGCGATTCACCGTATTGTTCACCAACAACATATTCATCGTCCGTCTGTCGCATAGTTTATCGTATAATGCTCACGCACTTGCTCAATCATCTTTGTCTATCGTCGCATAACACTTTCTCAATTATATCCATCTGTCTAAAACATAGTTTAATTTATAGCATAATGGCATCGCACTTGCTCAACTATATTCGTCTGTCTTTCATATAGTTTATGACATTCTTATTTCGCACTTGTTGGGGGTAAAAGTCAACTTATTAATTAATGGTGTAAAAAACATAGTATATTTTCATAGTGTGTGAAAATAGCTATTTTCACAATTGTTTATTTAGACGCATGAATGACAGGAAGGTGAGTTGGTGTGGTAATGTGCAAATTAGGTTTCTATATATGCTCGTGTAGTTATGGTGTCAATGCTCGTGTAGTTATGGTGTCAATGTTATTTTCATATTTATTTTATTTTATTTTATTTTTTTTTGTTATACACTACGTGAGGGAGGGTATTATGGAACTTACCAAAATATTAGCGTTGTTTAAGCTTATCTAATAGTAGAGTTGTGGGGAACGTAAGCAGATACAAAACACCTTAGAAACGGTAATTAAAGGAAGCAGAAAGCATTCTTGAATTTTAAAAACATACCTTACATAGGTTTTGCATTCTATATATATATATATAGATAGAGAAAAAGAGAGAGAGAGAATATTATTACTAATATTAATTATCCAGCCATTTTTCTCTTCAATACTTGAATGAAAGCTAGAAATTAATCAAGTGGATGTAGTCTTGTTCATTTATGAAACTCCATGATCCAAATATTATAAGCAGAGCAAACTTTGATGCTACGTTTAAAACCAGCATAGTCGGCTAGGGCCTGAAATTCCTTGTATGTCCTCTCTTTGCCACCGGGATTATAGGCTAACATCATCATATCGCTAAGAGCCGCCCGTGCATAGGCCAGTCCACTATTGTGGTCCTCTGGGAAAATAAAATCTGCAATTATTACTTTCCCATCATGTGGAAGGGCTTCATAGCAATTCTTCAACAGTTTTTTGCAGTGTACATCGCTCCAATCGTGACAAATCCACTACATAGAACAGAATAAAACTTTTGCCTTTATTTTCATGCGTGTGACAATGCATCACTCTAAAGATCACATAATATATTTGGTTGGTGAAAAGATCAAAAGAATACTACTTTTTCCAATTCGGACCCCACAAAAAGAAGAAAACAAAGATAAGAATGACAAGATACGTGATAAAAATTAGTATAACTTGTCCATCAACTAATATTTAGTCAAGGCAGATATATATTACTTACTGCAATATTAACTAATTGATTATATACATATACCAATATCCATTCTTCACAAAATGGGAAATCTATTTTAAGTTACTCAACTGACCTTCATGAACATGGCATCAGCTTTGGGCACACTAACAAACATGTCGCCACCGATATGTTCCACACCTGCACAAGTTTCATCATCATGACTGAACCTTCAAATTAATTTAGACAAGTCTAATTGGCTCTACCTACCGGGTTAATTATTAACATGTACAATAAATAATTCGACATTAAAAATATTTACGGCCAGGCCATATATAATAATGTATACGTATTATTCAATTTATGTAAATCTACTAATTACTAATAAAGAACAAATTTATGAAAATAGTTAGGAGTACGGATATTTAAATACCTGGGTAGGAAGGAGCTTCTTTGATAACATGGGGCAGATCAAAATTGATGCCCCTCATTGATGGATATTTGGATACAATCATCTTAAGTGAAGCTCCAATTCCTCCACCAACATCGACTAGGGTTTTTAGGCCCTCAAAACCCTTGTATTTTTCAAGGATTTTCTTCATAAAAATGGTGGATTGTTCAAACATGCCCTGGTTAAATACTTGGTTAAATCTTGGGTCTGTACCCGGGTATTCAAAGGCGTTCATACCATATGCTCTATCGAAAGCTACTCCTCCCTCCAGAACTGCATCTTTCAGGTGATACCTATCAAATTCAGCAGGTACGGGTTTTTAATTTTTGTTACTTTCAACGCTTTATTCTAAAATTTGTTTCTGAAAAAAAAATATAAAGAATAAATCTTGAAGATATGAAGTAGTAACTACAATTAATTAAATTTGAGCATTGTATCGACTCACTAAATCAACATCGTGAAATTTAAAATAATACTGATTAAGGAATTAAAGTGGGCTTCGAAAATAATTAATTTTATTATTACACTTTTTCCCACGTTTATTTTAGTGTTTTTTCATTTTTTCTTTTTATCACTATATAATTAACTTTTAGCTTACCCATGTGTCATTGTACGTTTTGTTTTGTTTAATTTAAATTTTCTATTATTGATGATAAATAAATGTGAAGCTAATTAATTCCATTGTTAATATTAAATAATGAAATGAAACAATAACAGACAAACGCAATGATGAACTACGGAAGTGGATAATTAAACAAACAAAAGCAGGCATACATATATTTATTTAATAAAAAAAACAGCAAAACAAAAAAAGGGAAAGGGCAATGAATAATTGACCAGGTCTCCATAAAAACCCTGTCCTGTATCATCAGCGAATAGCAGGCCGCCAGTGAGACCCCGTCCTCGTTTCGAGTCAAATACCTCCGCGCCCACGCCTCCAGCCCGTACCTCCGCTGGCCGCCCTCCATAGTGCAGGTCAGAACGCCGTGCGCAGCCAAAAACCGCAGGATCCGGTCTACCATGGCCGCCGCATCAGGGTTTTTCGTCGGGAGGCGCGCGGCCAACTCGGAGGCAGACGCGGCCGGCTCGGCTTGCTTGATCAGCTCAAGGAGGTCGAGCTCGATTGCGGCTCGGAGGACCATCGGGAGGACAGAGCCCGCGGCCAGCTGCATTGCAAACACGCCAGCTTCTTCATCGTCTTCGGGAGTGGATCGGGCAGCAGGGTTACTGATTTTCTCGTCCATTCGGTTGGAGAAACAAGAGGACTATCGATATGATTTGGTAAAGCCAAATGAACTACGGTGCGCGGGATGTGAGAGTGGGAATGGTGAGGTAGATATAAGCGGGGATAAATAAAAAGGTTGGGAAAGAAAAATAATGGATGGGTGCTTGGGCAGGTATTANATATATACCTACTTTTTAACAATTTTGATTTAGGTGTAGAAAACAACTTTTAAGTTTGTTGGAGTAGCATTTTTCAAAAAGCAACCCGTGTTTTTATCCAATTAAATCTGATACGCATAGCCCAAGAGCGCGTGGGTGAGATGGTTGGGGTCTCTCCCAGCTTAACCAGAGGCCTCGAGTTCGAGCCCTGAGAATGCAGCTGTGTTAAAACTCTTGAGGTAGAGCTTTGCCGCCCTTGTGGTCCTACCCGGCTCGATTCCGGATTAGTCGGTCCCCTAGAGAATTCGGAAACCGGAAGGTTCATTGTACCAAAAAAAAAAAATCTGATACGCATAATGACAATATGCACCCAATATTACATATTCTACTGCTTTACTGAGATACGCATAATGACAATATGCACCCAATATTACATAATCTACTTACTATATTACATATTCTACCGCTTTACTGAGATACGCATAATGACAAGATGTACCCAGTATTACATATTCTACTACTTTACCGAGCATGATTGTTGGCTAAAATGATGTTCTTCCGTTGACTACAAATTAAAACAATGCGTATGGCTGTTCAATTTTGCTATAAGTGTGAGTGGATATGAACTTAATTGGTTTTTTTTATTATTATTATTATAGTTCATTAAAAATTGTGATATAATTGGTTGTTAGTAAGAATTAAAGTTTAAATTAAAATATTATTTAAAATAAAATAATTAAAGTTGATTTGATGTAAAAATAGAAGAAAAATGATTGAAAGTGATGGTTAGTTAAAATTATGTGAGTGGATGAATAGTGAATTAAAATTAGTGTGGTGCGTAAGAATTGTTAGTGGTTTTATATAACACATATATAAATATATATATATCGGACTAACCTTTATGTAGCGGAAGCGAAAACTTGCCCGTATCTTTTATCCGACGACTACTAGAGTCGTCGGTATCCTCACGCTCTAAAACCCAAGCCGCCTTGTGATGGTTTGGGCTCAACAAGAGAAAAGCACTATAAAGATTATGTATTTTCTTAACTTGTTTTCTTGTCTCGTATTGTCACTTTTCATGTTGCACAAAACATCATATTTATACTTGTCTTCATGAAATTCAATCAAATGAAGACTTTAACACACTTCTCATAACTCCATACTTAATGGAGATGAGGTTGTAACACCACCACCATTAAGTGGATGTTACCGATTGATGCAAGTAACATCAATTTAAAACAATACTCCCACTCAGCCACTTAAGCTGAGACTATAACAAAAAGATCTTTATTAGCAAATCTCTTGCCTCATACGGGTAATAGAGCGTGCGACCAAATGCAACAATAACAACATTATACTAAGTCATCATCTAACTAACATAACACCTTCGTACTTACGACAAACTCTAACTGCTCAAAAATCACCAATAGCATACACAGTCCCTATATGCTATATACACAACATGTTTATATTCAAATATAACTGCCCGGGCTAATGTGGTGAAGTTGAATATCAGTTATTTCTTAGACACTAATGAAACTTCATCTCAACTTAGTTGCTTTCCTAATATGCTCCGTCAAACTGTAACGATCATAGCTCTTGGAGGACATATTAACGTAGCAACACTAAGTCTCAATATCATAACATTGTTCTAAGTTAAAAGGCTTCGTACAAAGTTGGACAACAAAATCCATAGGATTCACACCTTGACAAAGTAGGGAATCATTTGTCAATCCTTAACGGTCGTTCAAAAGCACACGCAGTATGATATACGTGTCATAACATAGCTCCCACTATGATGGGCATGTCAACTCTACTACGGTATAAGATCTATAGTCTAGATACTACTCAAGTATCTAACCCGAGCCACTTGATAAATATACTTAAAAATTTATTTTTCACTCGAGATTCGGCTTCAAGGCTTTGATATGAAATCGGGATTATTTTATATTCGACTCGTTAGAGTCTCATCTTAGACTTATTAGGGCGACAATATATATATATATATATATATATATATATATATATATATTTATTTATACAACAGAAGTATAAATACAATCCATACTACATACACGTAATATGATTATGGCATAGTCTCATCCTATTACTCACAATTAATGTGATAGGGCGATTACCCGTGTGATAAGTGTTCGCAAAATAATTTTCACTATCCGCAAGTGTACGGTATAGTTATAGTGAGTGGCGAGCAAGGTCGTATTCCACAGAGATTGTTGTCAAAATAACTAAGTATCAAAATGTAAACGGTTAAATATTATTCAGTCTAATGCAAATTTAAATTGTGATTTTATTCTAAACTAATGGGTGATTGGAAAATAAATTCTAACACTAATGAAGGCTTGTTCTAAGATAAATCAAGAATGAAAAAATGGATTCTAGTCTATGCTTTTCTCGAGATTATTCTAACAAAGATTTCTTATTCATTCAAACTTTATTTAATTCTACCATTCGTAGGGATAATCACTAAAGTAATTTACACCTTTCTCTCGAACAAGTTAACTCGTAAATATTAATTGTTATCTATCTCCTCTCGGTCTCAAGATGAACAATCAACTCCCATAAGCTCCTAAGGTTCTAGTTCCCTCGCAAGATTCTATCAACCTCTCGGTCTGTTTAGTCTCTTACATTATGAATTTCCCAATTCTAGCAATCAACTATCTCCTCTCGGTCTCAAGTCAATCACAAATATGCATAAATACGGGACCTATATTCACACAATTAAAATAAACACAAGAAATTGATAAACAAATGATAAATCGGAATGAATAAACAAAATCACTTCATAAAATAATCCGAGTACTCGCAAATCCTAGAATCCCTAAAAGGTTTAGCTACTAAAGATATCTCAATACTCAAAATAGATAAATTCATGAGTTCAATGAAGAAGAAAAAGAGAAAAGAAATAAGAACTATTATCGCCGTTAATTCCCGAATCTTCAATCTTCACTTCCTCGAATCCCTCGTGTGTTTCGTGCTTTCTATAGGCCTCCAATGGTGTCAAAAGTCTCAAAAACGAGTTCCTCAGGTCTCTTTTATACTGTAGGGCACTTCTGGGTCGAAAAAGGAAAGAAATCGCACAAGAATCCTATTCCCCGCTGATCAGGTCTGCGCGTCACACGAGTCGTATCACGTGCCACACGAGTCGTGTGACTTTTCTCAACATTTCGGCGAACTTCCAGACTCACACGACTGGTCACACGACCGGGTCACACGAGTCATGTGAGGTCACACGACCCGTGTCTCAATCCACACGACCCGTGTGAAAAAGCCGTAGCTACGTCTGTTATTTTCTCAACTCACACGACCCGTGTCACCATCCACACGAGTCGTGTGCCTTCTTCTGCACCCGTTCTCGCCGTTTTTCGTCCCGATTCCATTTCCAACGCTTTTCCGGGCATATTTCCTGCAAAACCAATGACAAAAGCACCTTTATCATAGATTTATAAATAAAACAAAATGGTGCACAATCACACGATAACCATGGCCAAATATCACAATATATCACTCATAATGTATGAAAATATGATGAATGTCAACTCCCCCAAACTTAAACCCTTGTTCGTCCCCAAACAAGAATAAGAAAATCAGAACTCAAGCATAATGAGTGATATCAAACTAGAACATCTTCAAGTTATTCAATGCAACCAAGAAAAATTAAAACGATCATAATTATCATGCTTGTGACTACTAACTTGTAACTACCTTGAATCAACGAACTCTCAAATAGGAATATTTAAGTGCCTCACTCACATGTCATCAATATATAAAAGAAAAGGACACGCTCAAGTCACATTAAACACCAAGTTAACTATATGTTTGCCAATCATCTAAAACTCTACTTCAAACACAATCAATAATCATGAGCTTTAAATCAAAAGGTCTTTTCGGGTCGTAACGTAGGCTATTTGGTCAAGGGTAAGATATATATGGGTTAAGTGGCTCAAATAAACAATCATACCATTCGAGTAAATAGATGACTCGACATACCCCACTATCCTCTCTAATCAACATAAAGCGTTTCTCGATCACAAACCAAAACAATCCATACACAACTCATAAATGCTCAAATCAAATTGCAAAGGAAGTACTTGACCATTTCTTTTTTATTTTTTATTTTTTTAAGAGAGTTCAATTTTTTTCCAAACAAAATCAAACTGCAAGAACAATATTCTCTAGATATAAACATTAGAGGTCATCCAAGTGTCCTAGAGTGGTTTCCCATTACTCATTACACGTCAAAATAAATCAACTAGGAAGAGGAGTAGAATCCCAACAATTCGACTTGCGAGCTCTCTTTATTATTATTTTTTTTCTTCTTCTTCTTTTTTTTTATTCTTTTTTTTTCGGTCAAACACAGTAAATGCAACTCAATCTCAACTCATTCCATACTCAATTATCCAATAAATAACTCCGTTATCTCCATACATCCCAAACAATAGTCAACTCTCAAAATAAATAAGATAAACCGGTCGACAAGAAAAAGGCTTAAGGCTCAAACAGGCTACTAGTGAAAAATATTTTTAAGGACAAAAAACAAGGCCAAACGAGCTGAATTAAAAAACCGCCTAAATCATATTCAAAGCTCATAATCACCAATGCATTTTTTCAAATTTAAAATCAAGGCAAATTCTAATAACTCGGGCATCCAATTGACACTCACAGACAAAGAATAAAGGCTCAATTCTCACTAGGCTCAATATATCGCTAATTCAAGGCTCACAAGCATTTTCATCTAGACATGACTTTTACTATCCCATCACAATTTCTCAGTCACATCAAATTACCATTCACCATTCACGTTATATATACCATCATCAAATCGAAAGCCCAAAATACACAAGAAACTGACTCATAATAAATCCTACTCCTAAAAAGCAAATAAACGTGCTCTACTCAATAAAGACATAAAAATAAAAATAAACTAATGCAACCTACATGAAATTCAAGATAATTGGGATAAGAACCTAAGATATGTTGCACCCCTCCCCCAAACTTATT